CGTAGTAAGGATATTGATAGCAGCTATAATAGTGATAAAACTGATGATTTTGATAATGATAGTAATAAATGTGATGATAACTATTGATAAGACTAATAATCATGATTATAGTAAACATTGTAATAATAATGATAATAATAATAATGATAATTATACTACTACTATTACTACTACCAGTAATAATAATAATAATATGTACGTGTTTGCACACACACACACACATGTATAAGTAGTTGTCTCAATTGATTCAATTGATGTGTGCTTATGTTCTAGCAGTTAAGATGACACCTAAGTTTTAGTCCTGCATCGATCTAAGGCATCTGCTACTGCTAAAGCTTCACCCCCCCCCCCCCCCCCACACAGAATTACAGACTGTAGAATTGGTGAGGCGTGATTCTGCTAAAAATGTGATGCCATTAATTGCATACAGGGTAAGGTATTCGAATGTGTGCCAGAGCGCATCCTCAGCATTGTCATCCCAGAGGAGTGTATCATCGATGCACTTAACCTTCCGAGGAACATCACGGATAATTAAAATCGGATAATCAAATCGGCGGGTGTGAGCACCACCAACTGCGAGGTAGCCTTCGGGTGCTCGAACATGGCAGTATTGTCCAAATTCTGTGATAAATGTGGTAGTCTCTCGGCACAGCACCTGGGTTCAAGTGAATCTTCATGGGAGGGCCAGACATGGTGGGCACCTGGCGAACAGACACACTAAATGCTGATATAGCAAATTGTTGCTTGAACCAATGTATAAGACTGTCGAGGTGTTCATCAGTAGGGGGAAATGGAATAGCTGTAGGCCCAGATGGGGTGGTGCGCGATTAGATGTAGGTGGTGAGTGCAATACTGACGGTGATACAGTTGCTGGAGGGTCTGGAATGGGAAAGGTGGTTGAGACAACACCAAGAGCTTTATATGCTGGTAGGCTGTGGCTTCGTTTACGGCATCGTGTGCTCTACCCTCCCGTGGGTAGAGCGAGAATTCTAAAATGCGCACGCGCGACCGGAACTCCCACGACTTTCTTCTTGGTAAGAAAATCGTGGATGCACCGTCCACAATATATATAACCTCACGTGTGTACCGCTGTGCACTATCATCAGGAATGATGGTGTGTGATGGGATGTAACCAAGGACGTATAGGGGTGTGCCTTCAACAGCCTGGATTCGTCGTGTGGTCGGTTGGAAGTAGTCACGTGGAAGGCCCATGGTAGCCAGTTATGATGGGCCAGCAACAGAGACAGGGCACTAGTGTCTGGGTGTGCAGAAACTTCGTGATGAAAGTCTTGGTTGGGTGAGAAGTTGCTATAAGTGATACCCTAGCAGTGAGGGTTGCTAGGACTGAAGGCCAGTTGGTGTAAAGACTTCCTTAACAGCATCCTAAGTTACCAAGCCCAATGATGTGGTAGCACGTGCTGAATGGCACAATGTAGTAAAGTGGTTCGCCTTCCCACACCAAGCTGGACGAGCAGACTTCCGGTGCCTCGGCCATGGGAGGTGGAGCCACGACCACTGCACGAAACTGAAGGTGGTTTCTTGTTCTTTGGGACGGACTTGCTAAAGGGTTGGGGAAGCTTTACCTGTACAGGGATGGCGGAGTTTCTATGAGAATGGGTACCAAGGACCACATTGGGTGCAGACTCAGCTATACGGAACTTCAGATCTAGCTGGGCTGCTTCAAAGCCCACATTATGAGCCACAATAACTGCCAGGGTTGGGAGGGCACGCTCCTTGCTAAGTAGATCTTGCTGGATCCCTGGATCACACACGCAAATGAGGAGTTGGTCCCATATGTGTTCCTCCTCCTGATTTTGCCCACAAGATGTGGAGGCTGTAGGCCATAGTGGTGAACCATGGTGTACTGCAGGTATCATGGGGGAAGGTACCGGCGGCGTCCATACAGGTCCAGGTATTGCAGGTGGTGGGAAAGTTCAGGTGTGCTGGACAGGCTGGGTGGGCCAGGAGGGGCCCTGGGTGGTGTATGGCTGATAAGTGAAGTAAAGCCCCTTGTAACTGGCTTACCTGATGTAATAAGGAGGCAGGATCATATGAAAGAGGTAAGGATGGGCTGGCAGTGTGCGTTCGGTGGCCTGCCGGGCATGTCTGCAGGTCAATGCATCTGTAGGATTGGCTGGGTAGTACCTGTGGGTGAGTCATGGTTGTGGGGTGGATGAGCACGTCCCTGGAAGGCAACCGCTTCTGCTGGATCCTAAAGTTTAGGCCTGTAGGGTGACGTCATATCACCTCTTTTAATTATTTTCTTTCATGTACTTCAACTACTCACTGCGCCATGAAGTCTAACTGAGGGCAGCAAAACACATATGTGTGATTGCTGGCTGCTAATACACAGACTGTGCATGTACAGAGTATTGGGAAACAGTACAAGATTCAGATACACAACATGTGCTCTCCAGCGAGACTGACCGCCTTATTCATGTGTTGCCTGATGTCGTACTTCTAGGTGTCACATCGTACCGTCGTTACACTTCTAAACACCAGCAACCTTAAACATATAGGCAGAGTGACCACTCTCTTTGTTAGGATGGAGGGTATTGCGATATTTAGTGATGTTTAACAACTCCCTGACAGTAATGGCCATCATTGGGGATTTTTTTCATTTTCAGATGGGAAAAAGCGAGCAAAGGCTACACTTGCGTTGCTGTATCTATTTTTTTTCATTTTCAGATGGGAAAAAGCGAGCAAAGGCTACACTTGCGTTGCTGTATCTTCCGAGTACTTTTTCCTGCTTACGCCCCACGTTTACAAGGCCAATAAGATGAAAGAAAGAAATATTACATGTAAATAGATTTAGATGATAAAAGAAAAAGGAAGAAAAACAACAATAATAAGGTCACATAACTCAGCTCCAGAAGTTGCAAAAGAAAGTAGAAAGAACAAAAAATAAGATGGGTAAAAAGAGAGGAAGAGAAGAGATCAGAAGTAATCTATAAAGGGACTATGGCCCCAAATAACGTGTGCGAGAGAGTGCCAAGGAGGAGAGAGAAGGCACCTGCTGCTGGTTAAAATGAACAAGGGATTATCACTTCTTGCAACCCCCCACTAGTGTTTTTTTTTTAATTAACCGGTAAAAGTGCGAAGGAAACGGTGTTTAGTGTGACAGGAAATTAGGGAACCGCCGTGGTTGACGGCTAGCTTTTTTACTGTATTGCTTGCTTTTTCGACAGGTACACAGTATATTGGAATATGTCATAGATGGTTTTTGATATTTTATGGTAGATTGTACTGTGATATAGATACCCAATATAAGTACCTTTTTGCATGAAAATAACCAAGGCAAGAGAAATGCTTCCGGCAACTCGATAAATGTTTACCGCCTATTCAATTCCTGCCGTGTCAGAGGTGTTGCATAAGCTGTAACCGTCGGGAAAGACGGCTATTGAAAGACACTGCACCAACTTCCAAAATTACCCAGAGTGGCTATTAAAAAAACGAAGACAATGTATATCATAAAAAAATAGTAGTAGTGAAAGACCTGCGAAATAATAAATTCTATTTGATAAGATAACTAATATAAGCACATCCAGAACGTGTACTATACATGCAAGCCAGGTTCCAAGAATGGCGACTTTAACCATAAACTGACATTCCACCTAGCCTCAAAAACATTAACACTGAAAAGTTTTAAAACTGACGAATGATGATATTCATCTTCAGAATTATGCCAAATTCAGTGAAATATAAAGATAGTTGAAATAACCATTAACACTTTCATAATGGTAACGGTGCGGTAAGACCGTACAATTTTCCACCACATGTAAGCAAAATCAATCTTTTAAATTTACTATGCAATTTAAGAAAAAAGTCCACCCTTAATCCTGTTATTCTCTTCCCTACGGATCACGCCGTGAGGCGTCAAAACAAACCGCTCGATCTGTGGCGTTCGGCTGTACGCCGCGGGGGCGCGCCAAAGTGCTACGAGCCGGTGATTCGGCTTGATGTACCCAACTCCCGCGCTCAAAGTCGGCGCGTTGCCATTGAACTCCAGAGCGTTGTTTTTTCTTCTTCACCCGTCATTAAGGGGATATACGTGTGTGTGTATGTACGGTGGAACGAGTGTTTGGCAGGGTGGCCTAGATGTCAACAATTCTGAAATTGGCATGGTTGGACTGGGAGGGACTCTACGCCAATGTAAACTTTAAAGGGGAGGTCATACCTACGGCATGCAATCTTGGCAATATTGGTGGGGGACTTGATACGGCATAATAAGGTATTGTAGCAAAAAAGGTAAAGAAGAGGAGAGGGAAAGGGTGAAAAAAGATCATGGAAAGTTAGTAGAGGCAAGGGCTGATGATCAAGGTAGGGGTAATCCCCCCTACAATGGGCCTTAGTCCCTGTCTCCTAACCCACCCTCCACAACAGGAGCAAGGGAATGGCTATGCCAAGCCCTCTAGTTTACATAAAATATTTGGTATACTGAACAAGTAATTACAAGACATGAATGGTTTCTCCATTTCAGGGTTAGAGCCATAAAGTTCAGGGTTAATGACCCCAGTGACACTGAAGTTGACAAAAGTCAAGTACTACATTTGGATAATACTGGTCAATCCCATTTTTCATTACACCAAACAGTTAATGCTCTTTACATCATGTTATAACCGTTGGAAAACCAACACAGGATGAGTAGGGTACCAATTCTTTGCTGCCTTAGATCAAGACTGTCTTCTCATTCTCTGCTAAATTTTTACATCATTGTACCAACACGTTATCATTATCATTAACACTGAAAAATCCTGGTAGTATCTGTATAATGCAAATCCACAATATTTTCAACTTGTCATTTTGAGGTAGTACTACAAGAATCAGAATTGTTAGGTTGGACAATCTTTAAGTGCAAAGGATATATCAAATATTATACATAATATTGATATTACTTCAGCAGGAAAGCTGTACATGTATAAAACCAATACAAAGGCATAAGCCCTTGCCTGAGGTATTTCTTGCTTGACAGAAGGAAAAGGTTAAACGAAAAGCTTGAATCACTTGTCTAAACTTTATTTACGCAACAAGAGCGGAAGCAGTTGATGACTCATATTTCCAGTTGGGGGCCAAGACTGCACGGGACTTGTAGTAACGGCCAAGACGGTGAATACGGGATTCTACAAGAATAAGCCTGAACTTGGCATCACGGTCCTTCCTGATGGTGACAAAAAGAAAATACATTAGGCATGTTCTCAACCCAATCACAAACTAGCTCTTAGCAAGTTTGTGTACAGTGCAATAGTGAGAAATGGTAATAAAGTATTCCGAAAAGAACTATTTGTTTATACAGGGTAAATACTACAAAGGTTTAGCTTCAATTATGTAGCTTGCACGTGAGAAGATAGACCACATTTCAAAAGTTTCTACTTTATATATTAAGTTCTTACCTTGTCCTCTCAAGATGCTTCCTGATAGCAACAGCCTTCTTGATAAGGTGATACAGATCCTCAGGGATATCAGGAGCCAGACCCTTGGCCTTCAGCACACGCAGAACCTTGTTGCCTGTGACGAAGCGCACCTGGGCGACACCATGGCTATCTCGAAGCAGGACACCTGGGGAAGAAAAAGATTCCATAAATACACAAACATAATACATGGTGAAAAATATAAATAGTATCTGTCTTTAGTGCTAGATTTTCTTTTACTAAAATAAATCAACCTATTTTGATAAACTACCTTTATAGTGATAGCATATTAAGAAACAAATAGGAGTTACATTACATTGTATCAACAAATGTACTCAAACTCTGCTAACTCTTTGCAATTTATACATTGAGAACTAAACTTTTTTACTTTGCTAGTTTAAGTGACATACACCACATGCAATTCAAAAAGTAACAATGCAGCATCTGATTAACTTCCACTAACATTTATTAAAGAATAATAAAAAATAATTGATAATTGTAACATCCAATATGTGAGCCCACAAGAATAGCAATCAAATCAACAAACCCTGCTTGGATTATGAGTCAATGGATCTCTAAAAATAAATTTAAGCAAAGGAAGCAGAGTATGTAAACTCAACATTAAGAATACTCTATTCTAAAGAATAAGAAAGTCTGAATGGACATTGTATTTATCAAATTGTCGATCTTTTTAACAGGAGCTATAGCCAATAAGTGAAATTTAAGTAAATTTGTTTATATAAAAAAATAAACAGCTATAAGCTATTATATTCTTGGAGATGTATATAAATTCCACCATACAAGCACATGTTTTGGGAAGCTGTTCAAGAATAGGATAACTGCCCAGAATCAGAGAAGAACCCAAGGAACTGGCCATGAAGAACAAATTACTTGCCATACATGAAATATCCATAAAGTAAAGTAAGGCTAAAATCAATTTAACCTAATCTACAAATGTATGCTTGTATGAGGAAGTCCAATAATAACAGAGCTCTACCTTACTCCAGTAAAGGCAACTAATCCAACATCCTTTGTCAAGACAGGGTTTGCAGACGTACCCTAGGAACCAGTTCTAGATCTTATCCTGCCAGATTTATGTAGGACAGGGTTTGTTAGTATTGAGTATTGAGGCCATGGCACTACTTCATCCCATTCTATTCTAGACATACCAAGAGGAGCAAAACACTTGGAATGAAAATCCTGTGACTGGATATTCTAATAAAATGACCTTTGATTTATTGTAAGGAACTATGTTTGCCTGGAGTTACTGGGAGGACAGGCTCCCCATCATACAATGCCTAAATGGCATACTTACACTACCAAATAAATTGTGACAGTTGGAGTAACAAAAGTATCTACTGTTAAGAATTAGCACATTCCTTTGCAAAAACTTGGTGTACAACATAAGGCAAATTGGTATTCTTTATATAGACCAAGATCCTAATTCTACACAAGAATTTATTCAACAATCAATGTTGCCATGACTGGGTGTGCCCTTTGGGTACTGCCCATGGGGAGAGTTGTTGGGGGCTCTGCCCACCATTGCCCCAAGCAAACATTGACTTCATTTCAGCAATCACAAGATAAGAGCTGGAACTGGGGAGCACCAAGTGGCCTTAAGCTTGTACCTATGAGTACAGCATTTTGTCCTCTACAAGAATCAGAATAGGCCTAGATTAGTGTATCCAAATCAAAGATTAACCAGCAAATTAATAATTGAATCTTACCCAAATGAAATCAAGAAACATTAGCATTACAAGGTAACTGATATAACAAATGGAACATTTTCAGTGTGCACACAAAAAACACAAAAAACTGCTGTATCATATGTTCAGCATGAACAACTAAAATTGCAGCTAAAATAACCATCATGAAGGATTTGCAGTATTCCTTACTGAGAGCAATGCATCTCCACAGAGGAAGTCCCAAAAACCAGGGTATGATAACCCATGTCTGCCAGGCCTAGCTTACAGCCATCTTAGCAAATGAACTCATCACACCGGGTACAGCTATAGATGTCAGGCACGCTAAAGTAAGTCAAGCCAAAAGTTCCACTCCATGTAGCAGAGTCCCAGGCTAAATGGCAGGGCAGTTGCCAAAAGTCACTGGAGTCACTGACACCGAGATTTCCGATACGATCATTGTCGGGTTAAGATGGTAGTATCCATTTCCCCCTCTCTGCACATTGCTCTCAGTAACATTAATCGCATTTACTTGTGTGCCTCTGCCAGATCACTTATAGCAAGGAGACTACAACCATAGCCTCACATGTACCACTAGATAGAAGTTTTAGGCCTTCCCCACAAGCCAAAGAAGTTCCAATGAATCTGAATAATTTCAAACAAAGTTCATCTTTGAGTGCAAGATATTTTCACTAAAATCAAATTATATATACATTTCCTATATCATCCACATGCAATGCCTTCAAGTTACCTAGCTATGAAGCTACAGTTTTCCGAGACTAAAATTGTCAAGGTATATATTGAGAATACCTTTGCATGCCTAATCACAACAATGATATCTATGGAATCCTCACAATCTCTGCTACCTATATGTGTAGAAATTATGTCACTGAAACCCCAACACCCACAATCTTGGCCCCAATAGCAGGGAAGGGCATAACTGGTACAATTACAAGGTAGATTACTAATAAACATAACATTTCAATACCAGGTTAACATGCAAACTTACACCTAAGCCTAACCTTTCCTAACTTCTATTTATTCCCTAAATAGGGGGCACTACGTCTTGTATCCCTCCTTTACTAGTACTACATGTCCAATTACAGAAAACCTGATATTAAAAACTGTGTGAGGGTGTTGTGGACAATCTCCAGGCAGGGTTAACACACATTTTTGTCTTTTCACAGTAAATATGAGGACACAGTAACTAACGGTTGCTTAGGACAAATTTTTAGGCCATTTGCCTCTTTCTGTGCATTGCTATTGGTAACTAACTCGATAGTCAAATGCAGGGAGGCTGTGGCCCCATAGGGAGATGCTACCCCCAACTCCACACTGCACAATTGGAGGGGGGGGTTTGGGGGGGCTCTGCAGCATAATTCCTACCCATGTGTACTAGAGAGGAATCCACCCATACCTACAATCATTGCAATCTTATGCAAAGGTACTCTAAACAATTCCTGTTATCAACTTAAGCCATGCGAGGTCTTAATCACATTTACAGTCTTTGCTACCATGTGTAATCCACACATGCCTCTCTGGATAGCATTTTTTCAAAACCCTTCAATATCGGGTTTTCGAAATTGATCTCCTTGCACTTCTCACACACAGTCTAGTCTCACAAAGCACACTAGTTTAGGCCCATCGCCCGTACAACCGCCCACGATGACGCAAAACACATACCCACACTTGCACACCCCCCCCCCCATCCACCTTACATGCAGCGGCAACCGAACCCACGAGATACATCACCAACTCTACAATAATAATATAAAAAAAACCTACACAATAAAAGCCACCTGAAAAGGAAATTTAAAGAAGAAAACCCGACAGAAAAGCCTTACCAATCTGGGAGGGAGTGAGACCCTTCTTAGCGAGCTTGATTATCTGTTCCTCGACGTCCTCCTTGGATAACTTCAACCAGTTGGGGACGGAGCGACGGTACGGCAGGGATGACTGGGAAATACCCTTCCTGCGGGAGAAATGGAGAGAGGAGAGATCAGGAGGCGGTCGGGAACGAAGAGAAATTCAACGCCGTGTTTATCATACCCGAGGATTCACGTGGTGGTCCCCCTCCGCCCGGAAAGTTCGGGTAAACAACGCCATTCTTCGAGCTTATGTGGCATAAATACGGATCAAAAATCTTCAAAACCTTATTCCACGTCTTCGTTACAATCCCACGCACGATGGCCAAGGCAGAAAAAACTCACCCTCCACTGTGCATGCGACCCATGGCGGAAAAATGTGTGGCGAGGCTTCCACGCGGACCTAATGAGAGACCGAACCTCAGGGGAAAGAGGGAGCTGCGCCACTCTCAGCGTTGCCAAGAAGAGCCCGCTCGGCGCCGCTACACTCCAGCCGGTGCTACAAAGGCGCTCAACTTGTTACTTTTTTTTCTTAAATATTGAAATGCGACTTTTCTTTTTGATATTGTGTCTTTAGATACATTATTTTGCAAGCAGCGTCTAAGATACGCCAAGGAGAAGTTATCATATAGCGTTTAGGAAGTATAACTTATAAGACATGAACCACCTTGTATAAGTTCAAATCAATCACAAGGTGCAATACATCTTTAGCAAGCATAACCATATCCATTTATGCACAAATGATTCATAAAGTATTAACCTGTTAAAAGCTAATGCGTATTGTGAATAGAGAGTTAAACTTGATATCTGTCGACCCCTTTCTCATATTATTATGCAATAAGTAAACATTTTCTCTCTTTTTATTTCAAAAGAATAAAGAAACATTGATAAAAATTGTCTATACAAAGTGGCCAAAGGTTTAATAAAGTGTGTGGAATTCAAAAGAAAATCAGCTAATTAACAGATATGCTATATTTAGCGCTAAGTTGGCAGTGCTGGTACTAGGTTCCAATAATGTCTTGATGCATTTGCTCAATGCAATTATGTTAAAGGTTTATTTTAAAGAAGGAATGGTATAGGCTATTTATATTTAATAAAATAAGTATATTATATTTTTGTGAGAGTTTGTGATGTTTTTTCAGCTTTTTATCCGTACTATGTTGGAATAATAACCCTATCAGGCACTGAGTCATATTTCTTAGATATGGCCATGGGATTTATATTGGTATTTGTTAACGAAATATATTAGTTACAAGTGAGATTTGGTATCATCATTATAATCGCAAACAAACTTTTAACGATAAAATTATTACTTGTTTTACAGCAGATGCTTTCCTAAACCCTGGTGTTCCAAACATTTTTCGCTGTCATTTGACAGGTGAAATTCTTCATGAAATCAAGAGTTTTATTACACCACAGTGTTTTTTCATTAACATAAATATCAAATTGATAAACCTGAATATTCCTAGCAGACAGTATAGATAAGTGACAAATAAAGAAAAAAATAAATATTTTAAAAAGACTTCCGCTTTCTTCAGTGGAACTTACGACCCCCAGAAATGGCCGACGCCGACTTCCAATTATGAGAGAATCCGTTGTTTATCTTTACCTGGTGAAATACTAAGAGAACTAGGACGATCACCGCCTCCTTCATCGTACAGGACAGGAACCGTATATTCGGGTGTGTAAATTAGGCGTCGCTGGCGTCCGTTCGTCCGACGTAAACGGGCGTCTATGGGATTGATCCGATTGTTTTGCTCGGGGAAGCTGTCTCTTCGGCTGCCAATTTCTGCTGCAAATATTTCCTGGCGCCTTCAAGCTCCCGGCCCAGGCTTCGTGGCGAGCTCTCATCCGGATCGGTTGGTTAGTAAGCGGAAGAGACAATCGGGGGAGAAATGTCCGAGAAGGAAAAACCGAAACAAAGCAAAATGTCATGTTAGTGTTGGTTACAGGGGCGGAACCTCGTATTTAAAGCCCCTGTGATTTCTGTAATCATGAAAGCCGCCTGTAATTCCTCTTTTCCTCGGACTGTGAGGCGAGAGCGATTCCCGAGGGAGAGGATTTGCTGTTTGGCTGGGTTGTAGGGGGGTGTTTGAGGTAGTGGCAGAGTTAGGGGTTTTAGTGTCGAGGTTTCGGTTTGTTAGGTGTTTGTGACCCGATGTTTGGTTTTTCGGGAAAAGAGGATTAAATAAAAGTCGATGGAATTGACCAGGGATTCGGGTTGATTGAAGTTTTGTGAGAGGGTTGGGGCATGTAAGCGGCCTGCAACCGTGCGTTTAAAGGCCGTGAAAGCCCAGTGCACAAACAGCTTGGTTTTGTTGCGTCTGAAGGCAGTCCGAGGAGGCGAAGGGGTTGTTGTTGGAGGTGGTCGCGGTTTTGATTATTTGGCACATTGATGGCTTGCTTTGTTTGATTTTTGGGAAGACTAGTGATATACTATTATTATACTACTATTATACTAATATTTACTACTATATATACTACTATATATTACTACTATATATACTACTACTATACTACTATATATACTACTATTATACTACTATATACTACTATTTTACTATTATACTATTATACTTTCTTTGTTTGATTTTTGGGAAGACAAGTGATATCCTATTGTTCTGTCTGTCTTGGAGTATGTATTAACTAGATATACTTTTCCTATAGGAGTTGTGTGAGAGAGAGTAGTGAGTTGTTCATGTATGTATTGAATTATACCCTAAATGGTTATTGCATTTGATGAGTACATATCAGTGAAGTTTTTTGCTATAATTTATAGGCATTTTGTATTTGCTTTGTGTTCACATATTCTTTTGAACATAAATGTTTAATTTCCCATTTCCATATCTGTGTAGTAGAACTAATAAAGATAATGCTGTATAAGTTTTATAAGAAATGCTAAGGAAATGCAGTTTGTCAGAAGTATAGTTTTGGATATACATTTAGTTTAATAAGATCAATAGTTTACAGAATCAATAAATTGATGAATTTATCACATTTCTAAATTGATACAGCCATTGCAAATTGAAAACAAAATATATGATTCAGAATATACTTAACCTGCTAACATCCTCCTCCTCTTTTACCATAACTGTATTAACTCTGTTCTCTCTGGATCCCTGTGAGCCTTGCAGCGATCTGTGTGGAAGGCCTAGTCTGAGAGTTGGCACAGTGCCGTTTCAAGTGATCACTTTAGCCTCAGCCTGTTAATTCATCATCCCATATATTCTGTCAGAAGAACTTGGACTTCCCTTGCCATAATTTATGTGTCAAAATTATATGATTAGAAAAAGAAGTAAAGAACATATGCAGGTGAAAGATTGAAAATTGATAAAAGTCAGTTTCTTTGGTCATGTCCATTTTGTGGTTGTAGAGTCATATAAACTCTATTGTACCTGAATGAATTTGCCACAGAGGCATTTGAGACATTTGTTACTGTCAGACAGCTTTATGTAAGTCTTGATAATACACCCACGGTGATGATTTGAAATTGCACCACTGCAGTTGCATTTCAGAATGTAGACCTTCCATCACAGGAATTACAATTTTATTGAAATGAAGTCAGTTTTATGCAATAAGGTTAAGTTGCACGTCCCTTAGTCAACGAGGCTCAAGATTATCTTCCTGTTTTCCATCTTCTTCCATAATACATCACATTAATCCAATGTAAATGAAGCAAAGCTAGGTTTGGAAAGCGAGAGAATCTAAAGGAATAGAAAATCACTTCAGTCGCACTAACGCCTTCCCCTGCCATTCCCAGCCGTCCGAGATGTACAAGGAGGAGACCAACCGTGACATCAAGGACGGCGGCGACAACGATTCGGACGACGATGACGACTTGGTGACTCGGGCCTCCAAGCGCAAGCGGGTAGTCGACTCCGAGTCCGAATCTGGGTCAGAGTCGGAGTCTGAGGGATCGGAGGAGGAAGACGGGGAAGAGGAGGAGGATGGAGAGGAAGGGGAGGAAGAGGTAGAAGGGGAGAGCGACGACGAAGAAGAAGGGGGAAGTGGGGACGAAGAGGAAGAGGATGGAGATGATGATGATGATGACGACAGTGAAGGAGAAGGGGAGGAGGAGGAGGAGGAAGTGGACAGTGAGGAAGGTGAGAAATGTTGTGTGGTTATGCATGTTGTCATTCTTTGAATTATTTTGAGATATTTATGACATGTATGTCCTAATTTCTTTTGTTTTTAGATTTAAACATTCTCTTTTTATATTTACTTTCTTTTTTTCTTTTTTTTGTATAGATTTCTTTTTACTTCCTTTATTATATTATTCTTTCCTTTAAGTAGGCTTTTTCTTTCTTCTTTATATACTCTCTCTCTCTCTCTCTCTCTCTCTCTCTCTCTCTCTCTCTCTCTCTCTTCTCTCTCTCTCTCTCTCTCTCTCTCTCTCCTCTCTCTCTCTCTCTCTCTCTCTCTTTCTCTCTCTCTCTTCTCTCTCTTCTCTCTCTCTTCTTTCTCTCTCTCCTCTTTCTCTCTCTCCCCTCTCCCTCCTCTCCCCTCCCTCCCGCTCTCTCTCTCTCTCTCTCTCTCTCTCTCTCTCTCTCTCTCTCTCTCTCTCTCTCTCTCTCTCTCTCTCTCTCTCTCTCTCTCTCTCTCTCTTCTCTCTCTCTCTCTTTCTCTCTCGTCTCTTTCTCTCTCTCTCTTTCTCTCTCTCTTCTCTTCTCTCTTCTTTCTCTCTCTCTTCTCTCTCTCTCTCGTCTCTCTCTCTCTCTCTCTCTCTCTCTCTCTCTCTCTCTCTCGCTTTTGTTGTTTCTTTCTCTGTCTCTCGCTTTTGTTGTTTCTTTCTCTGTCTCTCGCTTTTGTTGTTTCTTTCTCTGTCTCTCTTTCTTTGTTTCTTTCTGTCTCTCTTTCCTTGTTTCTTTCTGTCTCTTTCTTTGTTTCTTTCTCTTTCTCTCTCTTTGTTTCTCTCTCTCTTGCTTTGTTTTTCTCTCTCTCTCTTTGTTTTCTCTCTCTCTCTCTCTCTCTCTCTTTCCTCTCTCTCTCTCCTTCTCTCTCTCTCTCTTTGTTTCTCTCTCTCTCTTTCTCTCTCTCTCTCTTTCCTCTCTCTCTCTCCTCTCTCTCCTCTCTCTCTCTCCTCTCTCTCCTCTCTCTCCTCTCTCTTTCTCTCTCTCTCTCTCTTTCTTTGTTTCTTTCTCTGTCTCTCTTTCTTTGTTTCTTTCTCCTGTCTCTCTTTCTTTGTTTCTTTCTCTTTCTCTTTTTTTCCTCTTTCTTTGTTTCTTTTTCTGTCTCTCTTTCTTTGTTTCTTTCTCTTTCTCTCTCTTTGTTTCTCTCTCTCTTGCTTTGTTTTTCTCTCTCTTTCTTTGTTTCTCTCTCTCTCTCTCTCTCTCTTTGTTTCTCTCTTTCTCTCTCTTTCTCTCTCTCTCTCTCTCTTTCTTTGTTTCTTTCTCTGTCTCTCGCTTTTGTTGTTTCTTTCTCTGTCTCTCTTTCTTTGTTTCTTTCTCTGTCTCTCTTTCTTTGTTTCTTTCTCTGTCTCTCTTTC